TCCTCCTCCTGCTGCACTCACCTGAGGGGTTGCAGAGTTGTTCCTCTCACATGTTCTTACTCCTGTCTTCGTTGCTGTTTCTGCAGTAACTTTTCCCCTGCTTCTTAAATCTGTTACCCCAGAGGCACTACCCCTGTTGCTGATGGGCTCGGACTTGGCCAGTGGCGGGGGCCGCTTCCATCTGGCATTGGCTCCATCTGACATAGGGGAAGCTTCTGGCAGCTTCTCATAGAAGCCACCCCTGTAGCCCCCCTGCTACCAAAATCTTGCCATGCAAAGCCAGTACATTTTGTGCTCTGAGTAGTGACCTCTCTTCATACCCAGTAACCTGTGCATAGCCCATACCAGAAGTATATATAGCTGAAATATAATTAAATTTTTGCAAGTCTTAGAAAAATTAGGAATTGAAGTAGAAGAGAGGAACATCAATGAATGGTTCATTGAGGGGAAGACTCAGTACTGCATTCTGTTTGACAGCTACTGCAAGTCAGCATGGACATTAGCTCAAGACTGTCCCCACTATGTGCTGTTGTGAGGTGATGGTTCAGGAAAGATGGGCTATGGAAATAAAATGAGTAGAAAGCACTCTGTGGGGACCTTGATGGACTATTCTCGGGATTAACAACAGGTGTGCGTTCATTACAAATCTGTCACTGAAATCAGGGGTTGAAATTTATTCTGTGTATAGCAGTGACCACAAGAGATTTCCTGTGATGAAAATACTGTTCATAGAGGCTGGGAGGGTGTGCTACTCATCTTTTTCTTGGTTTAGGACTAGTTTCTTGGTTTAGGACAGTCTGGGGCTAGTGTTCTCCTACCGCTCCTCTACCCTACTACCATTGTGTCCCAAAGATTATGCTTTGATTGATTGATTCCTGTCTTCTGTGTCTTAGCTTATTGTGTCATAAAACTTACTTTGGCGCTCTTTTTTTTTTTTCTCCCTTTACTCTAGGGACGGGAGGGTGCACAGATTGAACCATGGGAAGATGCTGACTATCGTCTTTACAAAGTCACAGATAGATTTGGGTTTCTACAGTAAGTAGCAAGCTTGTAAAGAAAATAAGATTAAGAATTTGCTACTATTACTATTTATACTTTTTATTATATCACCTATTTGGTGAAAGTATTATGATGCCTTTTAATAGATCTTCTAGAAACTGTTTGCTATGTAAGTTTTGGGTAACTTCACTGTGCTTTTCAATTCCATTTCTGTCTGTTTTTTAGTTCTGTAACTTGATCCTGCATAGGGAGTGAAATGTTTTTGAATATTTTATTTGGGAATGAAAATTGATAGTCTACCAAAAAGATATTTCAAACTGAATTAAATTGCAGATAAATTTTGGTTTTAAGCAACTGTGTTACATATAAACAAACTCGAAGTTTGTGGAAGGATTTTTAAAAATTTTGTTATAACGTTGATATTTAAAAAAAATCCCACACATTTAAGGGTACTTAATGGTTGTATATGAACAACTGTGTATTCCGGTCCTTCAAAGATAAATATCTTGTAACTTCATATATTTAGTAAGCTTATTGAAGTCTGCTGATTTGGGAGCTAATGTTGCATCTTAAAGTAACAAAATGCCAGAATTCAGATCCAATTACCTTATAGGTACCTGCTTTGTAACAAATAATCTGTATCTTTTTGGCACAAACAATTTAATATTCATCTTTTATTAGGACTTTTGTGGTTGGCAGATGTAAATATCCAACTTGCAGAAACTGAGCACAAAGCTGACTTGCTACTTGTGATAATATCCACTCAAGACTCTCTGCTGTTCTTGGTGTTTGGCATTTATGTTTGAATACATGAAGTGCTGTTAAAATCCAGAAAATCAGTGATGAGCGGAAAACTTAGTAATAACTATGTACTTTTATAGTATTGGGGAGGGAGGGGTGTGTTTTGGTTTTGGGGGGATTTTTTTCCCCCTCTTTCTTCTGCATTCTAATGTTACTGTTTTTATAAGCTGTCAGTTAAAACAGTCATCTTTACCTGTGGACTGCCTTTGATTCATCAGGGTGAGCTAATTTGGTGTATGACCTCCAAACAGTTCTGTTTTACACAGAGAAGTCTTTGTGTTAGTAAACTACAGCTGCAGCACCACATGTCTGGTATTGTAGCTGCAGTTAATGGAGAATGGATGTCGGAATTATTTCTTGTGCAAAAATAACTGAAGCCATTGCTAAGTTCACTACTGAGTTCAATGGGAATTGAATCATGTGCCTTCAGATCTGCAAGTGGATTCTTGATTCTGGTATCCTTATGAACTCCTGAACTTTTCCTGGTTTTTTAGTATTTGCCTTTTTATATGTTAGGAATGGAAGAATGTTATTCATGTCTGCTACAGTTGCTGTTGCAGTCAGTTTTCAGGAGCCTTGCATTTCATGGCTCCAATGCTGTAGTATATTTGAGATGCAGTTATGGAGGTACTGCTTGGCCAATCAACATGTGCCAGTTTCTGTCCTGCTGTAACTGTAACTTAAAGCTGCTGTGGGCACCCTTGCATCACACTGCAGTCATTCTTGTGATCTGGCAGAGTAGATGGTCCTTAGTCATTAGACCATACTTCCTCCCTAGTAATGTCTTCAGTCACCAATGCAGAGTTCATTCTCCATATAGTCAACTTCAAGGAATGAAATCTGAAAGATTTATAATACATGAAGACTGCACAAATTAACAATGTATGTAGATACTCTGTCTCTCTTGCACTAATTGTGCAATATTTGTTGCTTATATGCTAACTGATGTCTTGTTATAAGGCAGATTTCACCTGAGAATGCCATCAAGGCTGCTTTATGATTCTTTGAAGCAAATTCATTGCAAATGATGTTTTTATTTTCCTGAGAAACAAAATCTCTCCTTATAAGAGAAACATAATTAGGATAAGCATATCAACTGTCTTTCCCTGAAAAGACAATTTATATTGCACTATAGATTTTAACTATGGTCTGGGTTCATGTGTACTGCGATACTTAGCCTGTGCAATTTACCGTTTCTGAAAGAGACTCCTGTTACCTATGAGAATTTGAAATTAAGCACTATGTACCAAAATCCTCAAATAGTTACCATCTATTGAGAGCTGTAATTCCCCGCGACCCGTCTATAGGTGTTTACAGTGTAAATTAACAGGCGATGCACATTGAAAATTGAAAATCTGGGGACAGTATTAAACTTACTGTACTCTAGTTAAGTTGAGATCTGCAGTGATTTGTATTCTTGTTTACACTGACATCTGAGTATACCAAGTAGCTGAAGAATATCTTTTGTATCAGAAGGCTGCTGGATGTGGGGAACCTGACAGAAAATTAGGACTTGTTTTCTCAAGTACAATAGGCCTTGATTACTATCACTAGTTTATAAACTTCTCTTTCTCCTTGGCTATGTCCTGTCCACAGCTTTCCTTGCCTCTGCAAAGGTGCATTCAAAGTTCAGTTGATTGCTGATAGGGCAGAAAAGGTAAGTTTGATGGGATGGAGCACTCAAGCTGCCTGTGTAACTTGCCACCTAGAAGAAGATGAAAGAAAGTAAAGATTAGAGACTTTCAAATGGTAGTTTTAGTCTAGTTCTACGATTCTTGTGGTGTCCTAGTGTCCTTATTTTTGTGTCAAACTGGGAATTAGTAAACTTGGGAAACCTGAAGACACTTACACTTCTATTGTCTTCCTGCCATACCAGTCAAAGTGGGTGAAACTGTTTAGATTTTCTTCTGAGAACATACCGAGTAGCAGAGGGAAGGTGCCTTTTTATGTAACAGCGTAGAAATTGCTAGTGATTGGAAACAGGTATGACATTTCCTTTGAGGTGAAATATCTCCCCTTAAGGCTAGCATTCATTTGAGACCCACAGTTACAATATCTGGCACCTTCGGTCAGTTCTACTTGTTGTTGCAGTACTTGTTGTTTACAACAGTTTGGACTATCTTTGCCTAGTGCCGTCTTAAATTTTCAATAGCTGCTGCCTTAAGAACACATTTTAATTTGTTCGCTGTTTTTTTTTTAATGTTGCAATTCTGCAAACCAATATGGAAGTTCTTGTTGACTTTGGATATTAAAAGGAAATTGGTGTGGACAGGTTATTAATATAGCTATTTAAAACAAAAAATTAATAATGGGGTGTTTTAGAGGGAAGTTGGATATGAGAAGGTTTCCAGCAAACATGCTAAGCTGCAAAATAACCCCATGGGGAGCTGAAGGGCTCTGTCTCTTGAGGTGTTTCAGACCAGATTGTACAAAACAAAATGCACCTGTGAGGAGTTTTGTCAGTGGGACCATCTGAATTGTGATGGATATGTTTTCAGTAGAGTAGCTCATAAGTTGTTGTATGAGAGGCATGCATGAAGCAGAAAGAGTTAAAATCTCATTATTGACAAAAATGTAGAAAACTTGGCCTTAAGAATTACTGTTGTTGTGAGGCTGTCAGGAAGCGGTGGTCATCATGGTTTGTTTAAGCCATATGGTGTTGTGGGCAAACCAGTCTCAACTTGAGGAATTTTTTACGGTATTTAATTTATTGCCAAGTAGCACAACATTCTGATTGCTGATTTGGATACTAGGGGGGACCTCGAAACATAAAACTTCAAGGGACACCTAAGGGAAACATCTCTCTCCCCTCTGCCTCCAGGACAAACTTCACTTGCTTTTTGCCATGGGTTACCCTTGGCTCACCTCAGTTCCTTTGGTGAGGCGACAGGCGGTGCAGAGGTTGAGGTCCTGCATGTTATGACTTATTTCTGCTGCTTCTGATTTCTTACTTGTTTTCATCTACTGCCTTTTGTGTCTTACACGTTTTCTGCTGCCCCAGTGTGGGTCTCCCATGAGCTGCAGACCCCTTGGAAGTGTCCCACCTCACCCCGCCTCCACCCCCCAGCATGGCGTGCCTCCTTCTGAGAGCGCATCTCCAGCCATGTTCCTGTCAACATCTCCTTCCATGTGTCTCTTTTGCTTCTCTTCAGATCTCCTCCATTTCTCGTGCCTCAGCAGCCCCCACGCTTTTAAAATTATGTTTTTAGTAGAGGCATAGTGGGTTCCTCCAAGTGACTGAAGTTTTGGCACATGATGGCTTGATTATAGTGCTTTCAGAGCTGACTGGAGCAGCAATGAGTGCCACAGGGCAGATCATGGCCCCCTCCCACACATGCCACCCCTGCAGTGCCCGGCTACTGAAACCCGGCCGGTTCTGCCCAATACATGTAGTGGTGAGAACTACCACCCTGGCTATGGTGTCAAGCACTGGAAACTCACTGGCGTGAAGAAGGTAACTGAGATGTTAGCCAAGGGAGCCAGTGTTCTCTGGACGTGTTGGTACCAGAGCACCGAAAACATGACTACAGTTACTAGACTCTGTGTTGTGCAACCTGACTGTGAGTTTGCTTCCTTCGGTAAGGTTGAGGATGTATTTCAAGAGGGATGCTTTTCAGTGCGCTGTTTTCCAAGGGGAAAAGGCAATTTGGGAGTCCAGAGGTCTCAAATGACTCTGAGGACACAATCAGTTCTGAGAGCGATATGGTTTGAGTGCTAATGTGCCTTCTCATAGCTGAGTTTGTGGTGCACATGTGCCACCTGGACCCAACTGATAGCTGTTCATGCTTCCCAGGGCAGTATTTCCAACGCTATTACATTAATCTCAATTTGCAAAGCAATACAAGAAAGGTGAAGTAGCATTGGTTCCTCTCAATACCATTTAATACAATACTAATTCCATTAGCATTGTTCATCTTAATTAATATAGTCTTGTTTCTATCGAGTACCGTTGGTCTTCCTCAATGTCACCTGGTATACATGGGGTAGTGCCTGTTAAGACTTTACTCTTCACTCACATAATGTTTGTCAAGGAGAAGCTCATATCAGGGAGCTCGTCTTAGTCATGACCACAAGACTCTTGAGAGAACAGAGCAATATATTTCTTACAGGTGCACTGTCATTACCTATAATTCCAAAAATATGTTTAAAAAAAAAGGGCAACATTCCTACCCAAAAAACTTGAGGCGTGGTCCTTATTCAATACAATTTATTTTCCAGTAAAAATCCTGCTGGAC